CCTCTGCGTTTTTTTCTATGCATTGTCCCCACTGCTCACGAGCCCTGCCTGCTCCACTGCTCACCTCCTCAAAAGTCTGTGTTGGGGTCTTTGGTGATCTCTCCCTGGTCATTAGACGACTCTCCTTTCTGGTCTAGCACTTTCAGAGCAGGGTCCCATTGTGGTGTTGGTTGGGTAGACTCCTTGTGATACAGCTTTTAAAATTAATCTCTACTGCTCAAGGCATACCAATCATGCAACAGGGCTGGGAGACACAGTGGTCAGAGCAGCAATACACTGAATCAAGTACTCTGCTCCCTCAGCAGCTAGACCCAGCTGTGCGCAGTGCCCACTTCCTCAGTCCTTCCTCACTCCCGGCAGTTTCTCTCTGGGGCCCATTGTCTCCCCCTAGAGTCTGTCTTTCTTCCCTTCTTCACTGTTCATACCATTGAGTCTGAATAGCAATGGTTTCGAGACCTTTGCAAAGCTGGACTTGTGATTAGGTACCTGTGTGTGTCCTCAAACACTCCAAGAACTAAGAAGTTCCATGAAAATTTTTGTGAGAAGAAACTGATTCTCTCCTCTATCAACTCCAGTCTCAGAATCCTACCAAGACACTCTCACGTGTGTAAACGACATGGTACATAGTAAACACTCAGAGAAGAGCGCAATTATCACCCAGAATCAGAATTTTCAGCAGTGTGAAGCTCAGAAGATATCTTGTCACAGGCCAGGGATATGAAGATGAATTTTTGTTTTTCCTTTAGCTGTTGAGAAAAATCACATTCAGCAAATATTGTGTCTTGCCATCCCTTGAAGGTCTCCTTCGTGTTATGACATGCTTTTGCCTAAGACGTGCTATCACTAGGAGGAGGTGATTTGTGAGTCAAAGAGCAGAATCAATTTCAATATGTCTCAGAAGATGTTCTGTCTATTGTCTGTCCTGTTCTCTCGCACTGTGCGTGGGTGCAGCATTAATAACCTTGGAGAATAAATAACATTGCCAGTTGCAAAACTGGGGCACATTGAAGTTGACTGATAACTGTATTATAAAGAACCTCAACGTGGTGGGTGTATCCTGTAGATCTGAGGGTGTGGTCCTTTTAGTTAGAAATTGGAAAGTAAAAAAATGGTGAGGCAATTTAGTTTTGTTTAGGTTGCAGCAGTTGTAATCTTTTGACATTCAATTTTACATTCTTTTTTTAGAATGTTACAACTAGTACTGAATCAAGTCAAGGTATATATTTTAAGTTTGAATGAAATAAGTATGTAGATGCCCCTTGTTCAATTTTTGTTTTTCTCAGAAAATCATAACTTATTTGAGTGGCATCAAGTGTTCAAAATAGATCTAATAGTGAAAATTGGTCACCTGAAAGTTTATTAGTGGGAGGGTTTCTGGTCATAAAATCTATAGATAAAGTAACATTTCATCTAGAAGAGCACAAGTAAAATAACTTGAAAGGGGATTATCTAGATCTGTTCAGTGCCCTTACTAATATTTTAAAAGTTATTTTTTGTTGTTCTTTACATTGACATATAATACCATTGTATGCATGTGTGTGTGTGTGTGTGTGTGTGTGTGTCTGTGTCCTGCATTTGCTGACTCAGCCCATGGGAGAATCGGTCTCATTTTGTTCCATGAGTACCTTGGCTACCCCACCCTGTATTAGACTCTTACTGTCAAAGGCAAATGGGCCGAACCATGGGTTTCCATGTAAATGTCACGCAGGCTGGTATTTGAATGGCCGGCACAGGAAGAACATTGTTCCTGCTCTCTGCTGGCAGCATGCGTTCGACTACTAACTTGAGCCAGCCTTCTATATAAGTAAGTCTCTCCTCTAAACTTTCCTTGTCTTGCTCTTAGTTAATTTATTTTCCTTGGTTTTAAAATATATCCAGTAGACTATCTTTTTCATAACTGCCCAGGTCTCTCAGGTGTTGTGTGTGGGTCAGGTTCTCCTATAGGTTGAGGGTGCTGGTTTGAATAAGGGTGACTTTTAAAGCTGAAAGAAAAGAGCATAATTGTGGGAAAGTTTGGCTGAGTTACCTTCCCTACCCCATGCACAGATACCCTGAGGGGTTGTATCTCCAGTTTTCGTTAACTATAACTCTGAACTTGAAAAAAAAAAAAATCTTCTTTTGTCTGGTTATTCTTGTATGAAGGGAAAAATGTTGTTAGACCAAATTTATGAAAATCTGGGTTTGAGTATGTTGTACATCGGGTTGTTCTCCGACCAGCAAGATTTATACAGATTAATAAACCGGAACAATATCCAGTTGCTTCCCTTACTGTTCCAGAACAATGCAGTGATGTGTGACTACCTGAGATATAGCATTTCTCCCAAACCGCAGCATTATTGCTTATTTAATCAATGTATACTGTATGTTTATCAAAAGGCTCCTCACTAAAATGTTTCACATATGAAGTTTAGGACAAAAGAAAGGCTTATACAGAGCTTATGACAAATGAGACATTTGTAATATAATGGAGGCAAGCTATTTTTGCTGTATTCATTATTTTGACACTAAATAATTAGACCTTTTTAAAAAACAAAGTGTACAGAAATGGCAAGTCCCTTTTCTCCCATATTGGAAACTAGTTTAATTAAATAGGAAAAAACTACATTCTTTCTCATACTTCTTACATTCAAACACAAGTATCCATGACCCTGCTAGGTATAAGAAGAAGTCTCTTTCTGACAAAATTATAATTTTTTAGCTAGTGCAATATAATTGTTATTACACATAATATACATTAATTATAGCACAGTAATAAGTGTTATTTCAAGCTGCACATAATAACAGATTTTTATATGTTATGGAGTGTGAAAAAGGCCTAATTTTTTTCTTATGAAGGAATCCATCTTTGTTGATTTTTATGAAGTACAATACTCAGTAAAACTGAAGGATATTTACTTTGTATCTTTATAGCTTTATTTCAATTATATATTGGAATATAGTTAAATAAGCATATAATACAAATATAACTTATTAAAATATTTTAAGGGTAGGACCATTATTCAACTACCTGCAAGGTATAAGGTACAATTTCTCTACAAAATTCAATTCAAATATCACCCCATTCTGTTACTTTGCTCTGTGGAATGCTGCCTGTAATTTATGAAGTGTTTGTTTTATGTGTTTGTCTTCCTGACTGGCCCACGAGCTCTCCTGGGACAAGGACTGTGTTTTCGTGTGTCTACAGCCTTTGTCACTGTTCCTCGCACAAAGTGGGTCTCTGATGACAGTTGTTGAATTGAATTCAGCCGACATCATGAGGGGCTTCCGTCACTTACAATCTGACCCAAAGATATTTAAAGCAGAGATGAGATGAAATAAAAGGGAGAGGACTGCCCAATGTTGATGTGTAAGAGGATTCGGTATACATTCTTGCTTTGCAAAATTTGTGCATTTTTCTAAACATTTGAGGTGAACATTTAAAAAGTTTATATTTAAATAATCTGCTCGTCTAAGACAATGACTGGGACATCTTTGCCTCTCCAAGAGCCTGGGTTAGGGTATCTCAGAGACAGTTTACAGGGAAGAAAACACTGTATTTAGTTCTATCTGGGTTTACAGGCTGACACCACCATTCTGAATATTTCTGGGAAATTAGTTTATTCATTGGCTTTCCTTTTCTTACCTGAAATAGGTAAATGTTTTCTTGTTAAAACCTGCTGCATGCCCTGGCCGGTTTGGCTCAGCGGTTAGAGCGTCCACCTGCGGTCCGGAGAGACCCGGGTTCGGTTCCTGCTAAGGGCATGTACCTTGGTTGCAGTTTGTCCCCGGCCCTGGTTGGTCGTGTGGGTGGCAGCCACTCGATGTGTCCCTTTCACATCGATGTTTCCCTCTCTCTCTCTCTCTTTCCCTCCCACTCTGTCTGTACAAAAAATGGAAAAATGTCCTCGGATGAGGATACAAACAAAAAAACAAAAAAAAAACCTGCTGCATAAGGTATTGGGAAATTAAATGAGATGATACATAAAAGGCCTTTTTGAAATTTGAATGTGCTGAACAGATAGATGTAAGCTGCTGCTGTTGCACTGGGTAACTACATATTCAGCAAACTCTGGCTAAGCCTTCACTTTTCGGGGGCTATAGTCAGTGTTACCGTGGATGGATTCTAAGTACTGTGCGTGACACCCAGCATCCCGCCACTGAAACCTGTCGCTGGTTGTGGCAGTTAATAAGTTTTATGTTTGATTGTGGAACACTTAAATGTCTTCATTTTGTAATATCTGTGTGCAGGTTTCTGATATGTGCAAATGGTTTGAGTTTTATTAAGTTATAATTTATTTTCCTAAATAGATCAAATAATAATGAAAATGTGCTTATTAGAAAATCTTATTACAGAAAAACCTATGTTCTATTGTAATTTTTTAAATGTAATAAGTGAACTAATTAACCCTAAAATCCCAAAGTTACCCCCAAATTAGGCACTCGTGATGGACACTAAGGAGTTCAAATGAGATTTTCAAACCCTGCCAAACAGGCTGGACCTGTTAAGCTCTTTTGAACACCAAATAATAGGTGCTGATTTAGAGTTAATCCCTCAGATCTTTAGAATTTGATTAAGTTTAAAATGTATGATTTGTTAAGCTAGAAAGTTGAGAACCCTTTTAAAATCACCAGGTCAAAAGTTTTAGGTTGAGTAATATTTCCATAAATAGAAATGTTTTATGCCCACATAGAATGTTCTGTTTAAAGAAAACTTGACTTAAGTTTATGAAATAAACTCTGTCTGCCCTTTAAGTTTAGAATTTGTTTTGCCCAAGAATTTATCAGGTTTTCTTTAAATATTAGACTTGGAAGTATACCTAAAATTGAATTTTTTTTGCAAGTACAGCTTTAAGGAAGTAGGCATATCAATGTACTCTGCACAATCCCATCTCCATATCCTCTCCAAAAGAGCAAAGTAAATATAGGTTCCCTTAAAATTATATAAAAATGTTTGCTTAAAACCTCCGTTCTGGAATGGAAAATGTCAAATTGTTGAACTTATTTCTTTTTTTTTTCTTAAGGAAAATGGTATTGAACGCTTGTATTCTGAGAGCCTGCCACAGTCCAGGTTTGCCTGTGTGTTGTATGTGTGTGTGAATTTGTATGCATATTCAGTTAATTTTAAAGAGATTTCTTTGAACCTGACTCCCCAAAATATTTCTTCCACTCTTGGCAGAGAATATTCCACACTCTCATCTCCTGGACACACGTCATCCACTGAGAGTACTGTAACTTCAAGTGGTGAGTGGACTCGGAAAAGATATCAATGTAGAGTGTTGTTAGCATTAAAACCATGAGCTTGATGTTCTGTGACCTGCTGACGTGTAAGCAAATGAAAAGGACATAGGCAAATACTTTTGCATAATATTCATACTCTTACTTTCTTCCTGTTGATAGATTCTGGATCAGAAACTTTGAATATGGCTTCTGGTGACCTTGACTGTAAATCACTCTGTGAGAAAGAGAAGGACAGAAGATCATATTCTGCTCTGATAAAAGTCAAAGGTAAGCTCTGAAGGGATCGAGTATAGTTTCCATTCTGAAACACTAAGCAGACCTATAAGCTAGTAGAGTAACTGTCTTCAGTAGCATTATTTTATAAAGTAATTTGGAGACTTAGCCTGGAAAAAAGAAGTCCAAGAGATGACTATTGCCTTTATATATGATGATGTGACCAATCTTTTTTCAATTCTGTATATAGAACCAAAATTACAATATATTTTAATGGGTCTTAAAAGTTGCTTTATGGCAAAGATTGCTTGGACACAACGGGCTCTCAACAATGGCTCAGATGTGGAATCACCTGCTTAGGAAATTCCAGAACCTTAATTAGAATCTATTAGGTTAGAAGATAAACCAGTTAGTGATGGTCCATTCAGGAGGCAAAAGGATTAACTAGACGACATATTAGATCCTTTCTGCCACTTGACTCTGAAAATAAAATAGTTAATTTCAACCACTCCCAGTGAGACATCACTGATTATAAATACTACGGATGGGAATTTGCCAATATATATCAAAATGTTAAATGGACATATCTAGTGATAAAACAATTTGAAATGGGGAAATTTATTCTATAAATCTAAGTACACACATACAATATAATATGTGTAAATTTATTTACTGTATTTTTATCTGAGTGGTAAAATACCATTAACAAGTTTACTATTAATAGAAGACTAGTTAATGTCTTTTGGCATATCCATGTAATGAGATACTTATATGCATCCATAAAACATATATAAGGAATCTTTTTTTCTTGGAAGGATGATGTCAAAGAACTATTGTTTCTTGAAAAAAAAAAAACCCAAAACACCAAAGTACAAAATACTATGTATTTGCATGTAAATATTTGTGGGGGGAAAAAGATTTTATGTATGCATAATTGTCTCTGGAAGGCTAGAAAAAACAAAATTGTCTATGGAGAGGAAAAGTTGGTGTCTGAATGGCATGTTCGGAAGGAAATTGTTCACTCTGAAACACCTTACATTTTTAGATTTATGGACCATATGAATCTATTATGTATCTTAAAAACAAAAATAAAATTCCATAGGGTAAAAAAAATTATAGTATCTCTGAAGAAAGTGGTTACCATTTTGTTCTTGTTTCCCTAATAGTTTAAAAAATATAATACATTCTTTAACTATTTTTTTTGTTAAAAAGAAAGAAACAAAACCTACCTATAGCTGCTAACTTTTGTGCCTGCACTGAGCTAAATTCAGCACAATGGATCATGTGAAGAAGAAAATGATTATCAAGTAAATTATAATACAAATAAAGTGCCCAAAAATAAAGGGAAATTACAAAAAGGAATGGCGTCATTTAAAAGTCATTTCTTCTTAGTTTGATGACATTTTATAAAAAGATACATTTTAGAAGGATATCTTTTGTTATCTGCCTTAAAAAAACCTGTTTGTTAGGCTGTGAAAAAGCTACTAAGCTACTAATTGTTCATCCTTTCTTCATCTAGTTTCTATAATTATACTAGTAATGTGTTTGATTAAAAGTCAGCAGCAGCCTTTAAAAATACATTAAAAACCCGACTGTTTGAAGGCCATTTATACAGATGTTTGTTTCTACTAAAATAAACTTACATGGCTAGCTTCCTTGGAAACCTTGGCTTCTCTAGTCTTGATTCTGAATCAATGGACACATTTAAAGTTTTGTAGTATGTAATTTATCCCACAAGTTAAGGCTTGTGCTACTTACTATTCTGCCCATATTACCACCCTCACGATTTCTTCCTCCTTTACTTGTTATAGCTCCCCAATTGTTCACTGTTTTTGTTTTTGTTTTCTTCTCATAGACGCAAGTCCAGCCCATGAGAATATTGCACTCCAAGGCTCTGTGAATGAAGACAAAACCATGTTAAATCTGGTAAGAAAATATACAATTGTTAACAGTAAAAGTAATGATATATTACAGTGGTAGAACTGTCCCTTTAAATTTGCAAAATACTCTTAAAAGCACCATCTTATTTTATCCTTTCAAAATATTATGAGGTCAAAATTATTTAATTATACTAATATTTTATAAAGAAATTGATGTCAAAACGTCCTTGTGACTTGTCCAAGGTCACACAGTAGAGTCATTAATTCACTCATCTATTCATCAAAGGTCTACTGAAAACAAGCTGAAGATCAATCAATAGAGGACTCTTAAATAAGTGAAAGCACTAATAAATAAGGTTGAATAAAACAGTGATATATATCTTAAAATGTTCTAATTTTGGGAAGAAACATAAATTTACTCCATAAATAGTGTGATTAGTGATGTGAAAGAAAAATGCTTGGGATGAGAGGCCAAAAGACGTCATGGAGGAGGTATGAATAGAATACCACAAGATGGGGGAAGGAGTAAGAAGAGTAGAATTTATGGAGTAAAATAAGATCAGTTAAGAGATCAAGTTTCAGCCCTGGCCGGTTTGGCTCAGCGGTTAGAGCGTCCGCCTGCGGTCCAGAGAGACCCAGGTTCGGTTCCCGCTAAGGGCATGTACCTCGGTTGCAATTTGTCCCAGGCCCTGGTTGGTCGTGCGGGTGGCAGCCACTCGATGTGTCCCTTTCACATCGATGTTTCTCTCTCTCTCTCTCTCTCCCCCTCCCTCCCACTCTATCTGTGCAAAAAATGGAAAAATGTCCTCGGGTGAGGATAAAAAAATAAAAATAAATAAAAAAAAAGATCAAGTTTCAGGTTGATGTGAAAGATCAATAGTCTGTAAAGAGCTTTTATATATAGCTATATACCCATTTTCTTAAACTCACCAATGGGACTTTTAGGAGAAGATACACACTTGTGAGTTATCAGCAAAGAACCAAGTATGTGGATGAAATTTCCCAAGGACTCAGCAGTCAGAAAGAGAACACTGATGATAAACTCTTGATGATTCCATTTTCTAATATTTGAAGGCAAAGCAGAGCAGGCTGAGGGGGAAGTACTGCAGTGATGGGGAGATTTTGGAAAAGCAAAACCAAGGCAAGAAACATCTTCAACAAAGAGGGGCTAATAGATTGCTTTAGATGCAGATGCTACAGTGAGGTCAAGTAAAATAAAAGCTGAAAATTACCCATTGGATTTGCCAGTAGGGAGTTCACTGACGACTGGAGAAAGTAGTTTTCTTGGAATGTTAGGCACAGGAGCAGAGTGTTTTGTTGTTGACAAATGGGAGACAAAGAATTGGAAATGCAACCATGGACAACTCCTCCCAGGAGCAAGGCCATGAAGGGCAGGAGAGGGAGAATATGCTGTAGCTGGAAGAGGTCATGAGGCTGAGGGAGGCTTCAAAAAACTTAAGAATATTCAAATGCTGATGAGAATGATCCAGTGCTTTACCTGTATTATTGTCTTAGTTTCAACTGTAAAAATTACATAACGTGGTTATCAATAGCTCTACCAAGGAAACTTGTCTTAGACTTACGTTGTATGGAAAGTTTCTAAGGATGTTGAATAATTATTATCATAAAATGATTATATACCTACAGCTTCCTCATTAGATTGCCCAGGCAGTACAGTAGAGCCCTCTGATTATGGAGATTCTTGTTGTGTAGATACATTTGTAAGACAGCTGATCATTGATATGAAGTAAAAGCCTAACAGCATAATCTTAGCTATTTTGCCAGCTTCCCCAACAACCCACTGCATGGGATGGTCCTAGATCACCCCCACCTGACCTCTTCATCCAGCCTATTGAGCCTCTCCATCAAACTTCAGCATGTTCCTTGTCAAGCAGAGATTTTTCATGCTACTCAGGCCATGGTATCTCTCTCCTTCCTCTGCTGAGCGCTTATCTAGATCCCATTTATTTGACAGCTAATCCTATCACCTTTGCAGCTTTCCAAAGATTTCTGTCCTTCACATTGCACCTGGATTGGAAACCCCCCTGGAGCCAGTGCTGTTTCTTCTCTAACCCCTGAGTACAGTTCTTCAAATACTATACAGTGGTTTTGACCACGTAGGGTTAGGGGAGAACAGGAAGCTGGGAAATGATTGGTTATAAAGGATATCCACTCTATGTACAACAATAAAATCTCTTTATGATTTTAGGAAGCCAAAGAGGAAACAAAAACAATAGATGAGCCTAGAAAAGAATGTGCTGCAGGAGGTAAGGAAGGCTCTCTCCCAACCCCACGTGAACTTTTGTTCCTTGTTGGTGTTTTTATAGGTGAAGTCTTTCTGAGTAAAGATATGGCATCTACAAATTCTGCATTTCTAGATAAAATTAGCCAACAGAACTGGTTCTCGATCCCATTTGTATTGTTTTCAAAAAGCCACATTTATGTTACTGTTGATTGTTAAGCCCCAGAGGACTACTGCCCTATTATGAGCTAAGAACCATACCGATGATGTTGGTAGTAAATTCTCTGCTCTACTTTGAGATCTTTTTCATTATTCCATCTAAAAGTAAATAAGCCAGTATTTAAAGAATGAGTGCTAATAGCTTTCTTCCCCATTTCATTTTTAATAGGAGAAAATAGTGGGCAAAATTCAGGCTTTGGGGTCACACAGACTCTATACTGAGTCAGCAGTCTCTAACTTTGACTTTGGAAAGTTATTTAACTTGAGTCTCAATTTCCTCCTCTGCAAAATGGAAAAGATGAGTAAAAAAAAAAAAAAATGCTACTCTCTATTGAGAATATATTACATGCTAAATACTTGGGTAAATTCTTTATGTACATAGTTTTATTTAGTTCCCCCAAATATCTATGTGTGATAGGTAAACTGTGATTCAATTTTCTAGTCTGTGATCTGTAGATAATAACAGTATCCAGCACAGAAGGTTTGCTGTGAGGATTGACTCAGTTATGCTTGAAGCACTTAGAAATGTGTTTGGCAGAGAAGTTCCCGTAAAAGTTAGCTAGTATGGAAAACTAATATCATTCTTATTTAGTAAATGGTTTGATGAAGTTGTTACTTTTCCTCTTTGTAAAGTTGTCATTAAGAGTCTGATTAGTGTGTGTAAAGAACCTCGTTGTGGGACTAGCATATAGTAAACCTGTGATTAAATGGTTGCTGTTATTGTTACCAGTATTGTAGTTGTTATTATTGTTATACTATTGTTATTCATACTACTACTACTATAATCACTATTATTCTTGCTGTTGCTGCTATTATAACATTGCTACGAAGGAGGACCAGGGTACCAAAGGAAGGTATGTTTAGCCACAGGATCAAGTCAAGCAAACATTCAAATGCAAAGAGAAAAATTGGGCTGTCCCTTGACTCAGACCTCCTAAGGTTTCAAACATTAGTCATTCACATGCTGAAGTGTGAGCTAAAGATTTTAAGGTCATTATGATCCCAGTAGCCTAGCATAACATTATCTTATATTTCAGCAAATGCATTACTAGCTAGGTATCATCTCAGACATATTTCAATGAAATACCTTTGTTTAGTGAAGAGAGGACATAAAATTTGATTGAATGTGCCTTTCGCTGTTGCTATTAAGTCTCTTTAACCAAATCATATTTTATTGTCTTTCAATAGATGCTGCTGTTTCCTCTCTTCCTGTAACCACTGTGAAAACGGTTAACTTTAAACAAAGTGACAAGTAAGCTCTTCTTCACATAGCATGCTAACATTTTTTGCTTTTCTGTTGAATTGTGTTTGAATAAATTCTTTGTCTTATCCTACAGCACTTCTGCTAATGAGAAGGAGGTAGAGGTGAGTTTAAAGTACTTATTTTTTACTTTAATTTTAAAAAGGTGTTGCAGACTCACTGGCCTGCAGTCACTTCATGCTTTTGCACAAGCTGTCATACAGTTGGTGTCTGTCTGGCTTGGCACCGATGAAGTGCAGGTAAAGTCTCTCTGCGTGTCAACATTATGTTGCTGGAAAGAGAGAGAAATGCCTCAGTATAGTTCAGTATTAAACTGGGATACTTGACTACATCCAGTTTTCTCTCTTCATTCTCATGTTAATTTGACAACAGGCTGAATTTCTTAGATTATCATTGGCATTTAAATGTGATTGGTTCACCTTGGAGAAAAGAGTGAAGCTTGAAGAAAGAACCCGTGACTTGGCAGAAGAAAATTTGAAGAAAGAAATCACTAACTGTTTGAAGCTGTTGGAGGTAAGAGTTATAACATTTGGGGACTGTACATTTGGTCATACTGTTAACAATGTTTTCAAATTACACATGACTTTACTTATAAGACTGAAACTAACACCAGGTATCAAGCCCTGCCTGACCCCAATGTGAATTAACAGGAGGTAAGAATTCAGGATCAGGGTAAAATAAAAACGATTCACTCATAGGAGAGTATAAGCAATAAAACAATAAATGCCCTTTAAAGTAGTTATATGAGTTCTCTGCCTTCTCCCTGGATCTTCAAATAGATTTCAGACAGAGAAGTAATCAGGCAGAAAACTGAGCAATCGGAGATAATACCAATTTTAAGCTTCAAAGAAGAGAATCAAGTCTATTTTCATTTAATTAACTGAAAAAAAAAAAAGGTACATAGCAGTATAACATCTACTATTCTTCCATTTTGTGAATATAGAGATGGGTTGGAAAATTAACAGAGCTAATTTAAGGAAAGGAAAATAAAAATTTAGAAATTATATTCTGTATTTTTTATTGTGGTAAAAACATAAAACTGACCATGTTAACCATTGTAAGTGTACAGTTCAGTAGTGTTACATATATTTACATTGTTGTGAAACAGGTCTTCAGAACCTTTTACTTTTGCATACTGAAACTCTATCCATTAAACAACTCCCCCTTCCCCTCCTCTCAGCCCCTGGTAACCACCATTCTACTTTCTATTTCTATGAATTTGACTAATTTAGTTACCCTATAGAAGCAGAATCATACAGTATCTGTCGTTTTGTAACTGGCTTATTTCACTTAGCATAATATCTTCAAAGTTTATGCATGCTGTAGCATGTGACAGGGTTTCCTTCCTTCTTAGGATTGAATAAAATATTCTGTTTATACATCGCATTTTGTTTATTGATGAACATTTGAGTTGCTTCTACCTCTTGGTTGTTGTGAACATTGCTGCTATGAACATAGGTGTACAAATGTCTTTGAGAACCCTGCTTTCAGTTCTTCTGGAAATATATCTAGAAGTGGGATTGCTGGATCCTACAGAGTTTTCATTTTAAGTCTTCTGAGGAGCAGCCATATCGTTCTGCATAGTGGTTGCACCATTGTATAATCCTACCAACAATACACAGAGTTTCCAGTTTCTTCACATCCTGGTCAACAGGTTATTTATTTATTTTTCATAGTAGCCATTCTAATGGGTATACGGTAGTATCTCACTGTGGTTTTGAATTGCATTTCCCTGATGATTATAATTGCTGACCATTTTTTCATGTGCTTGTTGTTGACCATTTGTATATCATCTTTGGGGGAAAAAATGTCTATTCAGGTCCTTTGTCAAATTTTTAATAAGATGTGTACCTTGCAAATACTTTCTCCTGTTTCATAGGTTGCCTTTTCACTTGTCCTTTGATGCAAAAAAAGTTGTTAAGTTTGAGGTAGTGCTATTGGTCTATTTTTGCTTTTGTTGCCTGTGCTTTTGGTGTCATATCCAAGAAATCACTGCCAAATCCAACATCATGAAGCTTTCTTCTATGTTTTCTTCTGGAGTTACATAGTTTAGGGTCTTACATTTAGGCCTTTCTCCATTTTGAGTTGATTTTTGTATATGATGTAAGATGAGAGTCCACCTCCACTCTTTTGCATGTGGATATTCAGTTTTTCCAACATCATTTGTTGAAGAGATAATCTGTTCCCCATTGTGTACTCTTGTCAAAGATCATTTGGAGGTATATGCATAGATTTATTTCTGGCCACTCTATTCTGTTTCATTGGTTTATATATCTGTCTTTATGCTAGTACAATACTGTTTTGATTACTGTAGCTTTGTAATATGTTTTGAAATTAGGAAGTGTGAATCCTCCAACTTTGTTTTTCTTTTTAAAAGTTGTATTGGTGCCCTGGCCAGTTTGGCTCAGTGGTTAAAGTGTCAGCCCATGAACTGAAGCGTCACAGGTTTGATTGCTGGTCAAGGGCATGTATGTGGGTTGCAGGTTCAATCCCTGGCCCCCGTTGGAGTCGTACAGAAGGCAACCAGTCACTGTACCTCTCTCACATCGATGTTTCTCTTTCTCTTTTCTCTCTCTCCCTCCCTCCCTTTCATTCTGTCTAAAAATCAATCGTAAAATATCCTTGGGTGAAGATTAACAACAAAAAGTTGTTTTGGCTATTTGGGGTCCTTTGAGATTTTATATGAATTTATGGATGAATTTCTCCATTTTGGTAAAACATTCCATTGAGAGTTTAATAGGGATTCATTAAATCTGTAGATTGATTTGGGTAGTATGGACATCTTAAGAAATTAAAGTCTTCTAATTCATGTCACAGGATGTCTTTCCCTTTTTTTGTGTATTCTCTAATTTCTTTCAGCAGTGTTTTTTAGTTTTCAGTGTACAAATCTTTCACTTCCTTGGGAAGGTTTATTCCTAGGAATTTTATTATCTGTTGTGCTATTGTAAATGGAATTGTTTTCTTAATTTCATTTTTTTTATTGTCTATTGCTAGTGTATAGAAATGCAACAAATTTTTGTATGTTGATTTTATATCCTGAAATTTTGCTAAATTCATTTATTAGTTCTAAAAGTCTTTTGTGGAATCTTTAGGGTCATGTATATATAATGTTGTTTGTGGTCAGAGATAATTTTACTTCTTCCTTTCCAGTGTGGCATTTTCTCTCACTTGCCTCATTGCTCTGGCAAGGATTTCTAGTACTAAGTTACATAGAACTAGTGAAAGTGGGCATTTTGCCTTGTTCCTGATCTTAGAGGAAGAACTTTGTCTTTCATCTGTGAATATTATGTTGGCTGTTGGCTTTTTATCTATGGCCTTTATTGTATTGAGGAAGATAGCTTCCATTTCTAGTTTGTTAAATAATTTTTATTATGAAGGGGTGTTAAATCTTATTAAATTTTTTTCTGCAATAATTTAGATGATAATGTAGTTTTTATCTTTTAATCTCTTAATGTGGTTTACTGCATCAATGGATTTTTATATGTGAAACAACATTGCATTCCAGGAATAAATCTCACTTGGTCATGGTATGTAATCCTTTTAATGTGCTGTTCAATTCAGTTTGCTCATATTTTGTTGAGAATTTTTTCATAAATATTCATAAAGAATAATGGTCTGTAATTTTCTTGTAGTGTCTTTGTCTGGCTTTGGTATCAGTGTTATACTGACTACAAAGAATTACCTTGCAAGTGTTCCCTCCTCTTTAATTTTATTGGAAGAGTTTCAGAAGGATTGGTGTTAATTCTTTAGATGTTTGGTAGAATTCTCCAGCAAAGCCTGGCACTGGACTTTTCTTGGTTGGGAGATTTTGATAACTATTTCAATCTCCTTGCTAGTTATTGATTTATTCACATTTTCTATTTCTTCATGATTCAGTTTTGTTAAACCATATTCCATTGGCTAACAACTAATATCTGCTCTTTCCTTCCCAATAAAGGTGGTTTTTTAAAATACCATAGGAAACTGTGTGTCTGATAATGGTCATTCCAACTGATTATCTACACTTACATACCTGTCTATTTCAGAAGTGTCTGCCATTCATTGGACACCTACTGTGTGTCAAGCAAGCAACTGGCATCTGTTTCCTCTCATGTTATAGTAGTCCTGGAAAGGAGATATCACTGTCTTTTTCTGACAGACGAGGAAATAGTAAATCAGAAAGGATGACACTATAACCTTTCTAGAATTAGGATGCAATTTTATTGGTAGAACTTTTCCTTTCTTAATGCTGTACAAAATTTATGGTGTTTTAGATTGGGGCAAATCTTTAAAATTTACTCATGATCACACAGCTAACAAGCAGTAGCTTGTTTGTTTGCAAACTTGCTGTTCCCTTAATTCTGTCTCCACCCCCGAGAGAAGGATGGTCCTCCAAAAGGAAGGCCATCATCTTGAATGAAGGGCACAGATTTGAGAGAACTATTCCTAAGGAGGTGAAGGCAGACCACATAATCAGCCCAATCCCACTTTATTGTCAATGGAAGAGCAAGTATAGTAGTCAGAGCCATATCTCATTTCAGTCTATTTTCCTTACTTTTCTTAAAAGTCCAAATTATGCCCCTCATATAATATATTCAACTCATTTATAAGCATATTTGTTTTTCTTAAATTATTTTTTTATTAATTTGTTTTTTGTTACAAATGTTTCTCCTTTTTCCTCCATTGACACCCTCCTCCCCATCCCCCCGCCCTATCCCCAGCTTTGTTGTCTATGCCCATTGGTCATGCATACATGCATATAAATTCTGTGGTTTATCTCTTCCTCCCACAACACCCCTTCCTCTGAGGTTTGTCAGTCTGTACCCCATCTCTATGTCTCTGGGTCAATTTTGTTCATCAGTTTGTTTAGTATAAGCATATTTCTTTACCATGACCAATTATCCCATTGTATTGTAGAAGAAAAATATAAATACATATAAGGTTGGTGCAAATTTGAGAAGGAAGAAGAAAGGGATCAAAAGTAGATATAAAGGCTTTGTGGGCCCCTGCATAAGTTTACTTGATAGTCAACAAAGGTATTAATAGTTCATTATCATTCATTATTGGTCTTAGCAGCTGCTTTCCATTCTCCATCAAGAAAATTTAAATTTTACTGTCATCTGCACTTAACAACATAGTATTAGAATCACTTGCTGAACTTTTGAGTTGGATACTTTTTAATACATTGCTTTCTGCGCAGTCTTTAACACCTCTCTGTGAAGATGACAACCAGGCCCAGGAAACCATGAAGAAGCTGGAGAACAGTATAATGTTCCTCAGCCAGTGCACAGCACGAGTGGCCAGTAGAGCTGAGATGTTGGGAGCCATTAATCAGGTAATCTGTCTCTATTTCTCTAGCTACAGCAAAATTACTAAAAGGATTATTTTTCCTGAGATTATAGATTATATTTCTAGAAAAAAGTTTTAAAAAAACACTTCTTTATTATACAAAACATATGTTTAGTCCTGGCCAACGTACAGTGTGGCTCAGTTAGTTGGGTGTTGTCCTGTGCACTGAAAGGCTGCTGGTTCGATTCCTAGTCAGGGCACATGCCCGGGTTGTAGGCTCGATCTCCCGTGGAGGAGTGTGCAGGAGGCAGCCGATAGATGTTTCTCTCTCACATCAATACTTCTCTCTCCCTCTTCCTTCCTCTCTCTTTGATACCAAAGAATGGAATATAAAATATGTAAATAAAAATATAATGGAAAATCTCTCATAATAGCATTAGCCAGTGACAGTCATTATAAAGATTTTGTGACTTGTTTTCTTTCAATATATAGCATAGATAGCTTTCTATGTGATATAAATTCATACAAGTCATTATTTTGTGGTATTGGCTTAATAGATCATAAATTATTTAACCAATCCCCTATATTTGATCATTTTGGAATGTTCTTGATATTTTGCTATTATAAACAATACTACAATAAATATCCTTGTTTATGCATCTTTGCACACTTATTCTTAGGTAGAATTTCAAAATATTCTTGTGGGCAAATGTGGGAAGACTGTAATTTTTAAAATCGACACCTAAACAAACTTGTTAAAATATATTTTCCTAAGAAGGAGAAATTCAATTGTGGTGATAGTTTTAGTTTGATCATTTGTTATACATTTTTAGTATCCTTTTTCTTTTTTATCTTCTCACTGTCTATTCTTTGTCTTATTTTTATTAAAGTTATATATGCGTATCGTTTAAAAATGTTCAGTAGTGCTACAAGGCTTATTATCCTATTTTCCATGTTCAAGAAAAATAACTTTCAACTCTTTTGATTTGGTTTGTATTGACACCTTTATCTCTAGATAACATACATATACTCTCACTTCGTGATTTATTTTCAGTTTTAGATAGCGGTTGATATCCCACTGTGAAGATGAATATTTAGTTCTTTTAACGATCTCTGTTCCCTTACCCCTTATCACTGATTCTCATCTGCTGACCTCTCCTTTTTCCTGACCAAGCTTAAATTCCATGGTCAAAAACAATATTCACTACCTTGCATGAACCCCTCCACACTATTCCCTTCTTGTTTTATTTTACTCATTTGGAAAATCTACCACCCTGTTTAAATCTACCTCTCCACCTGCTCATACCTGCATAGCTGGGAAACATCACACCCATGTGCTGACTAGCTCTCTTGAAATTCATTGTCACAAACCACATGTGGATCCATAGGGCCTCCCATCATTCACCCTCCCTCTCTGTTAAACATCAGTTTCACACTTTCTCCTTAACCCACCATCATGATCTCCCATCTTCTCTGTCAAATTGTCATGTTTGAATTTTCCAGACTTGTTTGTTGTTGTTCTCAGAATGTTTTTGAACTGATACCTTATTCTTATTTCATGGATGCAATACTAATTTGTAACCCTCTGAAGATACAGGTGATTTTCCTTGAAGTTTTCATTTTCCTGGTTTTCTTTTGTGCTAGAGGCTTTCCTTCTACATCTAATGATCCGCTGTGCGGCTGATCAGGGCTCTGTGTATGTTGAGTGGGGAGGGTTCTTATTGGCCATGAGCATCACACAAGCTAGGATGTTTCAGTGGAGTACTCTCAATGTCAGCAGTTTTCGGACTTTAATCTTGGAATGTCAGATTCCCCGGAGAAAAATCTAGCTGCTTGCCTTGAGGGTATGAGCCTGGTTACCAGTGTTGGGGAGCTGGAAGGAAGAATAAGGCTATGTATCTCATTATTCAGTATGTATACAGACTTTTGCTTAAATCTCTTCATTTCAGTATAAACCACCATCAGTTATGTTACTACCCAATCCACAGGCCCTCTTGTTTCACTCTCTAGATATTCAGCCTTTGTAGTTTTCACCGGAGTGGTGGAGGGGCAGTTGCTCAGCGGGCTTGAGGAAGAGAGAGCATCTGTGGATCTAATCACTTGTTACATAGATTGTCAACCTTTGCTACTGTTCACATATCAATCCTGAAGCTTAATTTCAGAGGTGCTATTAAACCCTGATCCTTTAGGGCTTTCCCATGTTGCTTCGAGGGTTTTCTTACTGCTCACTTTAGGGTTTGGCCTTTTCATGTCTTAGACATTCACCACTAGCCCTTCTAGCAGGCCTCCACAATCGCATTGCTATTATATCTTCTGTCCTATTCGCCCTTATAGATACCAGTCTTTTTTCTTCTTCTTTTTAATAGAAATGCCTTTGTTATCATTTTAGTGGGATTTGGGGATGGAGTGAAGATAAATGCATGTTTCTAATGGCCATCTTTTAATTGGGTACAACAATACTGTTTTCAATATAAACTTGTGGGTTTTTTCCTACTAGGAAAGCCGGGTTAGTAAAGCTGTTGAAGTGATGATTCAGCATGTAGAAAACCTGAAGAGAATGTATGCCAAAGAGCACGCTGAGTTAGAAGAACTGAAGCAGGTTCTTTTGCAAAATGAAAGGTCTTTTAACCCTCTGGAAGATGAAGGTAATCAAAGTTTAGGATAATAGTACCAGTTGTGTTTTTCTAACATTCACCTCTTTCATTCTCTCTCTTACTAATTCTCATTATGTCTTTAATATAAGATGCTTGGGTGAAGGTTATATTAAAACAATAACTCGTTCCTGTCATCTATATAGCCAGAAGTAGGATGTCAGTTAGATAACAGGTGGGGAGACAAAGATTCTTTGATAATCACATCAGAAATTAATTAAATAAATTTAAATTGCTGAGATCAGAGAATGTATTTAATCCATCCCATTGAGTTGACACTAATGTTCTACTTAGGATACATTCGAATTGGCTCTTTCTCCACACAAAAAGCAAGGCAGATGAATTTTAATGAGCCATTCTCATCAACAATGGTTTTATATTCCTTATGAAAGGAATAACCCTGGCATAGCAAAGCTGACTGATGAATCAAAAAGTAGGGACACATATAAGGCCATAGAAAATATCATAATATAGTTTATATAAATCTTATAATAGTTTTCTTTAAAAAAATAAGCATTATGAACTTCTGGGAATTCTTAATGATCTGTTGTACCGTCGTCTAGAAAAATAACCATACTTGATAATCTTCTATCTGTAATTTTGGGTTCTTTTATTCAGTAGATACTCACTTAGCATCTACTATGTGCTAGGTCAGCATTCTAGACAAATGCAATAACATAGAGGACTCTCTTCCATTGGTTAAGGTGGTAATTGTTATAAATCACCAAATAAACAATAACCAGATATTCAGTAGTCTTCTGACCATTGTTTTTCTTTGTAAAGAATTAAGACCATTGTAGCGACAAAAATTACAAGTGTACTTTCTAAATTATGCAAATGTTTTTCCTTCAGATGACTGCCAAGTTAAAAAACGCTCAGCTTCTCTAAATTCCAAGGTAATTGATAATTCACTTACTGATTTCCCTTAAAAATGTCTGTCAACTATTATAGGTAAGATGGTTTTTAAATATTTGAAGCAACATAGCTTATAAAACAATTTTAATTCATATATATGTATATATGTATGCATATATGTGTACGTATATTTGTTTACAGGTATGCTTTTATATTTCCTGCTGTATTGGTGTATGAATGAAGTTTGCCTGGTGGTGAGAAGGACGCTGTAGAAATCAGTGTGTCTTGTGTAAATGGGAGTTGGAAACAGGCAATCCAACAGTAGTAGAGCAGCTTCACAAAACCCCCAGGACCTTTTCCTCTCCAGCTGCTTCATCCCCCTCAGCCCTTTGCTTCCAACCTGTGGTCGAAGATGGCCTCTCTGGTCCCAGGCACCGAGTCCTGGCCATTCCACGGAGTCACATTCCAAGGAAGAGGAAAAGGCAAAGACAGGCATTCCCTCGCCCTTTAAAGACAACTTCAAAGCAGTCCCAGATTTCTCTCTTCACTCTTAAATGCAAATAAGACTGGAAATAGTTTTTAATTCAGGATGTGGTATGCCTAACTGAAAATCAGGGAGTTTGAAAATCGGGATTGCACAGAATTTTGTAATAGTACTTTTGAGCAAGTGACTCTGAAATCATTCCACCCAAATCTCTTTTTCACTCATTAGGAAAGAGAGGACAGAAGTTAAGTAATTAGTTATGATATATGTAGTGGTAGAACCATGATTTCAACCTAGGTTTCATGAACCACAGTTTGATATTTTTGATGCTCAATTAACCTATGAAATTAATTTTAGGATGATGGTTTAAGGAAAGGATTCACAGCTCTGGTCAGTGTGGCTCAGAGGTTAGAGTGTTGGCCCTTGCACTAAAGGGTTGTGGGTTCAATTCACAGTCAAGGCACATACCTGGGTTGTAGGTTCAATCCCCAGCCCTGGTTGGGGTGTGTGTGGGAGGCAGCCAATCAATGTCTCTCACCTACATTGACGTTTCTCTCTCTTTCACTCCCTCCCTCTCTCTCTTCCTCTCCCTCCCTTTCACTCTTTCTAAAAAATTAATGGAAAAAATATATTTGGGTGAGGATTAACAACAATGAAAAAAGGAGTCACATAAAACTTGAGCTTATTTTCTACATTTAAAATATTATTATTTCCTGAAGTTGTACTTACTCAAACTTTAAGAATTACATAACATTTTTTCTGTGCAAATATCAAGGACAATATATATACACACCCATTTATTAAAATAATATGTTTATCCTTAAATGTATTAAATGGAAAAATGAATTTTAAAAAGCTATAAATATAGATATATATTTATCTCCTCTTGAGGAGGGCAAAACCTTTCTAAGCATAACAGAAATGCTAGCAAAAGAAGGGAAGAGATGAACAGCTTTGGCTGTATTAAAAATGAAACAATTTTCGGCCCCAAATATCATGAACAAAATTAATATGGGTAAAAATAATTGCCCTGGCTGGTTTGGTTCAGTGGTTAGAGCGTCGGCCTGCGGTCCAGAGAGACCTGGGTTCGGTTCCCGCTAAGGGCACAGGCCTCAGTTTCAGTTTGTCCCCGGCCCTGGTTGGGTTTTGCATGCGGGAGGCAGCCACTCGATGTGTCCCTTTCACATCAATGTTTCTCTCTCCCTCCCACTCTAAAATAATAATAATAAAAAAAAAAACAGGTGGTTCTCAGAGCAGATACAGATGTTATTCAACATAGAAAAAGTATTGAATGTTCTGCAAGTCAAATAAATGCAAACCTAAACAAGGAAGCTTATACTCTTTATTTGACTGGCAAAAATCATACCCAATGTTGGAGAGGGTGAAATGTAAATGAGTAGAATATTTCTGGAAGGCAAGTTGGTCATTAAGAAAATCCTTTTAAAAATGTCTACAGGCCCTGCCAGTTTGGCCCAGTGGTTGAGCATCGACCCATGCACCAAGAGGTCGCCGGTCCGATTCCCAATCAGGGCACATGCTCAGGTTGTGGGCCAGATCCCCAGTGGGGGGCATGCAGGAGGCAGCCAACCGATGTTTTCTCTCATAGATGTTTCTCTCTTTCTCCCTCTCCCTTCCTCTCTCTCTAAAATCAATAAAGAAAAAAAGTTTTTTTAAATGTCTACAGTTTAACTCAGCAGCAGTCAAGGGCATGGTGTGTGTGTACAAAGATGTCATCAGTGCAGCATACAAGGATAACATAGTAAGACTTTTCTAAATGTGTTTCCCCCTGTGAGTAGCCATCATCTCTTCGAAGAGTGACGATTGCTTCTTTACCCAGAAATATTGGGAATGCAGCCATGGTAAGCACATTTCTAGGTGCTCTCAGTCAAAAGCAAATTTATTTTCATATAATAAAAATATAAACTTCACTAAATTTATATTTTATCCTTTCTTTAACATCTGAATTTTAAAGGTGACTGGAATGGAAAACAATGACCGATTCAGTAGGAGGTCAAGCAGTTGGTAAGTGTAATTCTATGGTTGCTCTTGGGGAACTTAACTGTTTTTAACTGTGCTAAAGCAAATGTTTGAAAAAGTGATATAAGGAGAATAATTATAAAAATTGACATATCGTGAAATTGCTTTATTATAAAATAAGTGTTATGTGAGTGCCAAGGAAAATCATTAGAACATATGAGTTTTATATTGATTTAGGTAGTGGGAAATAAATTAAAAATGGCGATGGATGTATTTGATTTGACAAGTGGATATAATAATCATCTTTACATAGGCGTATTTTGGGGTCAAAGCAGAGTGAACACCGTCCCTCACTACATCGGTTTATCAGCACCTATTCCTGGGAAGCTGGTGAAGAAGAAAAACGTGAGCTGAAGTAGGTGAAGCGCGGGGTGTGCGCTGACCTGATGCGGGCGGGGCGAACAGTGGGGGTCACTGTTACTCTGGCGATGACATCAATGCTGCATCATCAAAACGCGAATTCACGGTTGAAGACTTATAAACTGAAAAGCACTAAATAAAAGTGATTTGTGAATACATTCACCCTTGAAGTGCTAAGAACTGCATGGTTTGGGGTCTTAAGTTAGAAAAGACCTTGGAATTTTCCAGATTTGCGAAAATAATTTTTTTTTAATCTTTATTGTTGAATGCATTACAGATGTTCCTCGTTTTTCCCCCATTGACCCCCTCAAAAGTGGATTTTTTTTTTTTATCCTCACCTGAGGACATTTTTCCTTTTTTTTTTTTGTGGTAGGTGCCCCTAACGGGAACTGAACACGGGACTGTCTGGTCCGCAGGCTGACACTCAACCGCTGAGCCAAACTGGCCAGGGCGCGAAAATAATTTTTTTTCCTGTACAGACATTTGGCCAGCAGGGAGGGAGGTGAATAAAGAGCCAGAGAAGTAAAATGTGTATCTTTTAAAAAGTACATGAAATACATAAACACACACACACACACACACACACGCACGCACATTCATGTATGTATATATAAAACAGGCACATATGTAATATAAGTGTATTATATATACTTTCCCTTTACATAAATGAAGACTAGGGGAAACATAAAACTACTATTTCATATCTAGCAAGTTAAATACAATCTACTTCTATAGCACAAGGAAGCGGCAGGAAGGAGGGGCATGAATAAATGCCTGTAAGTCCTTGGGTGACACTGGACAAACTGCTCTAACCTTACTTACTTGGTCTCAGTTTCCTCATCTGTGGAGATCTTAATGAAATGATTTTGTGTTCATGTTATACATGTTCACTGGGTGCCTACTATGTAATAGGCACTACACTCAATCCTAAGGGATAGAAAGAGGAGGAAGACATAGTGCCTACCTTTCAAGTTGTTTGTGCTTTAGGTATGTGTTTAGTGACCCTGGGAGCCTGTTGCCTGCACTGAAAACTCTTTTAGAGTTCCCATAATGGGTATTTTCTGATCTGGGGTGGGAACAAATTGTTTCCTTTAAAGAATGACAATATATTATTTGTGTTTTTTTTTGGCATGGTATTATTTTTACTGAGGAGTCTTTGTAAAGAAAAGACTGAAAACTTGAGAATCTTACAAGAATGCAATTGATTCTAGCTTTTGGGCCTTGTGTCCTTTAAAGACTAAACTAAAATTCACCACATATATTCTCTATAATTTTTTACTAAAACAACAGCTTTGAGGCTCAGTTCCCTTTGGCAATTGTGAGGGTATTATAAGCTTGAACTCATCAGGGAACATAATAATGAAACAAGTTTTGCTCACATAAGGGCATCCCTCTTTAGATAATATTTTATTGAAAATAAAGTCAATTCAATAGCTATTTTCCAGATCACTGAAAGCATATTTTAACTAGTTTTACACTGAGAATATTTTCATAAGCAGTTTTAAAATTCAGATTTTTAGAGAAAGAGAAGAAATAACACTTTGATATTGTTACTCCAATTTAGCACTGATTGAAAAACCCACAGAGAAAAGAGTAAAATCAACTAAGATAGGTTATTAAAGCCCATGTGGTAGAGCCCTGGCCAGTTTGGCTCAGCGGTTAGAGTGTCGGCCTGCGGTCCGGAGAGACCCAGGTTCGGTTCCCGCTAAGGGCACGTACTTCAGTTGCAGTTTGTCCCCGGCTCTGGTTGGTCGTGCGGGTGGCAGCCACTCGATGTGTCCCTTCACGTAGATGTTTCTCTCTCTCTCCTTCCTCTCTCTCCCTCCCACTCTATCTGTACAAAAAATGGAAAAATATCCTCAGGTGAGGATAAAAAATAAATAAATAAATAAAACCACAGATGCATGTTTTTAAAAAAATAAAAATAAAAAAATAAAGCCCATGTGGTAGACCACTTCATGAAAACAAAATGGTTCAATATATAAATTTGGTGATTTGACTTTTAGAATTGGGTATCTTTCTATAGCAAAACAAATATTCGTGAGCATCTTTATTAATACGGTGAAATGTTGAAATATTTTATAATTATAGCACATTATCCTTAGTTTTAAATATTAAAAAAAAATACTTTACAGACCTAAAGATGACTCCGAAGCACCTGGAGAAGAAACGGTAGAAAGGACAAGAAAGCTGAGTCTTTCGGAAAAGAGAAACACTCCATCTAAATGGGATGTCTCCTCAGTGTAAGTTCTCTCCCTTTGCTGGAATGGGGAAAGGCAAGGCAGGGCTAACAGTGCTAAATTACTGTTACTCTTGATGAAATTACTTTACTAAAAGACCTGTGGAACTGTTCAATTGAAGATGAAGAACAAATTTTGTATGGTCTACAAGGGTTGTTTCTGAACCTATGAGTTACAACAGGATGGAGAATTCGGTGCTAGGAACCTGGCCCTGAAGCCAGATGGCCTGGGCTCCACTCCCAGCTCTGAGCTGGGCGCGTTCCTCTGCTTTGAGCACCTACTTCATCTATAGAGCAGGGGTGATACTGGAACCTCTGCTATTGCTGGGTTGTCGTGATTAAATGAACTAGCATGTGTCAAATGCTCAGTGTGGTGTTTACCCTAGAGTTAACTATTTTCAAAGACTTAAATGATAGTATAATAAGCTTTTCCGGTGGGTGTTTCTAAAAGAAACGAGCTTATATTTCAGTACACCAAGAATCTAAGGTATGGTGAGAAATAAGTGACATGTTCGTATATTCTACTCTATTCAAGAAGTAATGTTTTTGTTTCCACTGTACGAATATGTTGCCTTACCTGATAGAGAGAATGAGATAAATACTTATATGTATTTGTTAGGAGTTAAATGATGTCTAAATTGCAGAATTTTCAGATTCTCACCATAACACGTTATTTCTTTAATTCTAGCAATTATAAGGGGGTGGGGGCAGGTTGTGGCCCAAACCAAGACAGCAGATCCCATTATGCAGTTCAGCACGACGCGGTGCTGGGCATACTGCTGGCCGGAGCCTGGACTGGTACTGTTGGCGAAGGGACTGCTTCTAGTAACGGATCACTGTGATGACCAAACTCTGAATTTGTGTTTTCCTTATAGTTATGACACAATAGCTTCCTGGGCAACAGATCTGAAGACCTCCGTTGGGAAGGCTAATAAGGCACTCTGGCTTTCTGTGGCATTAATTGTACTGTTTGCAGCTTTGATAAGCTTCCTCACAGGCCAATTTTTCCAAAAGTCTGTGGATGCCGCTCCCACCCAGGATGGAGACTCCTGGATGTCTCTAGAACATATCTTGTGGCCATTTACCAGACTGCGACACAACGGGCCACCGCCAGTGTGACTGTCGAACGTCCTAATGTGTGTATCTTGACTTTTAAACTTCCAGTATCTGAATTTTGTGAATTAGTAACTTTTAGCTGGGAAAGGGCAGCCTGAAACCAGAGGTTCTCAGAATGACTGCAAGATTTTTAAATTCCCTCTTTTTGTGATGACCTCCCCCTGAGCTTTGAAGGAGCTTTTTGAGGAGGAGATATATTATATATTGTTTGTTAAAAATGTATTGAAATAAAGAATCATTAAAACTTCATAGAGTGAAAGTTAAATCTCAGTGGGCCAGTATTCCTAGGAAAAGAACCCCACATTCAAAAAATAAAATAAAATTTGAGTATAAAATACTGATTAGATCATTTTAGTAACCTATTTAAAATATATTCACTTGTTACATTTTATTGAGGAAATACCTGATTCTTCTCCAAGTTGCTTGATTCTTCATACTGAATAAAATGTATCAGTAGAGATTAAGAATAGCTGAATAATCTAGTTAAGAGTAGCATCTGGCACACACAGTTAAGAAACAGGCAGTTGGAGCTCCTAACTTTCTCCATTGCTTCTTTTGAAGCAAAATCCTTAACCATGTGATAGAGAGTAGAGTGAAACTCAGTGTCCTCTTTCAGGGTTTCAGAGAACTTCTCGCTGTCTTCTTCAATCTTGAGCATTTGTGCTCTGTCACCACTAAACATTAAGAGAGTCCAATTAGAATTCTCAATAGGTTCCTCTTCTTTAGTAAGGTGTTCGCTCACCTAAAGAAAAATTAGAGAAATGTGTTCATAGTTCTTTTCTTTTCTTTATTTATTTGGCCCCTAGCGGGAACCGAACCCAGGACTCTCTGGTCCTCAGGCCGACACTCCAACCACTGAGCCAAACCGGCCAGGGCTATCGTTCTTCTTTTATTAGGTATTTTGGCAGCAGAGTATTATTTGAAGGGCTCAACACAGTCCCTAAACTGTTGGCGTTAATGGAGAGTATCAACATATATTAATTCATTCAACAGATATTTATTGAGTGGCTGTCACTTGCCAGATACTATTCTAGTTGCTGGGGATGTAGTAACAACAACAAAGGAAAATCCACCCGACATTAATCAGTAACTAGTGACTGTCCTCGAGGAGCTAATTTTGTAGTGGGAGAAACAAGATAAACATGACGGCTACTTTAGGCTAAAACATTCATCAATCAGCTTTTAGAATTTTTCAGGCAAATAGTAAATGTGCCGGAGAGTTTGTGAATGGCAGATAGTAGATGTATACTCACGCGGAAGGCTTCCGTTTGTTCTTGAGTCACTGTAAAGAGATATGAGGACTCTAGTCTGAAATCAAGAGCATCTGATTTCATTACGGACAATGAAAGCACAACCTTTATCTAGTTTAGTTTTATATTTTTGACAAAATTTTAAAAAATGGTCTTAAAACTGCATTTTGAATGTTAATCGTTTTCTCTTTTAAGAGGAGAAACCGTGGTCTACGTTCGCATAGCTTTTGGAGGACAAAGCAGGGTCATGGGTGTTTGCATACTCCACCTTAAATACAACTTTCTTAGAACCACACTGTGTGTTCCACTTGCTCCAGGCAAATGCAAAAGCAGAACTTAGCAGGGCCATTTCTCGATAAACTTTCATTTCTACCAAAGGAACCTGGTGATATAAAAACAAAGTAGAATTGATCATAGAGCCTTCTCAACTGGTCTCCCTTCTGTCCTTGGCCTCCTACAGTCTATTCTCAACACAGAAAAATCTATTAAAATATACATCGGATTTTATGACTCCTCTCAAAACAGGGCAGTGGCCTTCCCTTTCTCTCAGAAGAGAAGCCAATGTCCGAACGGTGGTCTGTGAGGGTCTGACATTCCCCGCCCACACACTCCAGCACCTATCCGACCTCATCTTTCTTCTCCCTTTGCTCTCTGGCTCCAGGAGCCTCCTTGCTGTTCCTCAGTCTTCAAACACACAGGCCGCTCAGCCTGGAAGCTGCTTCCTGAGATAGCCACTCGGTTAAATTCCCACCTAGACATTCTGTTTGAATCTTGCCTTCCCTTTGAGCCCCCAGTACATATTTGATATTGTACACTGCCCTAACCCTGGTATTCCTCATCTACCTTTTCTTTTTCCCATAGCACTTTATCCACCTTTGACATGAAATAATTTTATTTTTTATGTTTATTGCTTATTTTCATCTCCCTCTACTAGAATGTAAGCTCCAGAAGGGCAGGGGCCTGCTTTTTAAAAAAATTCACTAATGTATCCTAAGTATATAAAGCAATGCCTAGAATACAGGTATTCAGAAAAAGAAATTCTTGAATATTCTGAATAAATTAATACCACTCTACATACAGTCAGCATTTGCAAAGTAACTAGCAATGTGAGCTACTAAAACCAAGGTGGTTTTTTCCCCTACACATGTACATTCTCTTATCCATACATTTTCAGATGTTACGTTAGTCTACTGATAATTGTCCTTTTCTGGTATAATATATACTTGTTCTTGAGTATTGACCTTGTCTGCCCAAAACATGATTAGCAGCAACTTTATCTTCATTCATGTGGCATAAATATTTACTAAACATCTACTGGATTCTAGGACTATGCTAGGTGCTAGAAGAATCGATCAAAGTTGATTAAAACACAGCTCCCATCCTCAAAGAGCTCACAGTTCAACATGGAAGGATCTCATTAACGAAAGCCTTATAAGTAACACAAAGCAGTATGTGTTTTGTATTTGTCTGCAGGGGGGGCTCTGCCAAGAGGAAGAAGTGGGTTTTGTGTACCAGTAGTCCGTCAGTATGTGTGTTTAATGTCACCTGACTCATCATGTGTGGGAAACTGCTCAGTCATTTACTCTCTTAAGAAATCTTACATATGTCCAGTCTGGAAGAAGCAAGAAAATATACAAAATGTGAACTTACTCTAACTACCTTTGCACAGAAACTGACCAGCTTTGGATGTCCTCCATCTGTCAAGATGACGTTTAGACGACAGGCTTCCTGTCTTGGGAAAGACTATTAAACTTGAGAGAACTCTGAATTTCTGGTCTTGCCGTTTGTTCATTCCTTTCTAACTACATAGTCTTATATACGTGAATCTAGAAAACCTACGATGTACCTTAAGATTTATATAAAATGTAATACTTGCTAGCATCCCTAAATGTCCATTACACTAAGTTTGAAAAGATTTATTCTTACCTTATAGTTTGTAGCGACATAAAAATGAGAGTGTTCAGTCGGGAAGATATTCACTCCAGCTGCTTTCAAAGCAATACTGAAAGAAATAGGAGTCATCCATTTTCCTTCCAAAACAGAGGGATGTGTTTTGTTCTTTAGTTTGATTGAAGTTAACATGCAGAGGTCTTCCTAGTTTCCACGAGAAAAACAAAAGGAAGTTTTTATTAAGCTAAAGAAATTATTTCATGATTCTGGTTCTAGCCTTTGGGTTCTTTATACCATTTTTTAAAAACCCTATCTCATTTTATATTAAAAAGAACGCAGGACCGATAATGTTTTGGGGCCAATCTAAAAGCTCCGCCACCAAGTCTCCATGTTACCATGAGCAGTTTGTCGGTTCTTTGGGGGTTTTCTCCGAACAATCAAGGGACAGACTAAAGGCTCCTTCAGACCTCCTGTTTTATAAGTTATGATCTAAGAATACTGCATATGTTCCCACTGAACTATAATAGCTATTTGATAGCAATCGTGCTACAACTGTTAAGGATAATCTTTTTACACATGTAAGATGTAACATAATGCAAAAATATTGCACAGTTTTAAAGTTTGCAAAGTTTAAACTGGCAATCTGAAGGTCTACAGAATTCACACCTCTCATCTGCATTTATTTATTTATTTATTTATTTATTTATTTATTTATATTATTATTTTTTTTTATCCTCACCCGAGGACATTTTTCCATTTTTTGTTCAGGTAGAGTGGGAGGGAGAGAGAGGAACAGAGAGAGAGAGAAAAACATCGATGTGAAAGGAACACATCGAGTGGCTGCCACCCACACAACCGACCAGGGCCGGGGACAAACTGCAACCGAGGTACGCGCCCTTAGCGGTAACTGAACCCGGGTCTCTCAGGACCGCAGGCCGACGCTCCAACCGCTGAGCCAAACCGGCCAGGGCTCTCATCTGCTTTTAAAAGCAAAGTCTCATGATATCTTGTCTTCCTGCCACATTCATAAGGAATTTCAGGCCATCTCTCTTAAAACAGTTTTAGTAAGGGATATTTTACATATTATAAATGTGCCATTTCAAATGCATAATAAATGATTTATTTATTTTTTTAGTAACTATCACCATAAATCAGTTTTAAGATACTTTCATCCTCCCCCATCCCCATGAATTCCTCATATCAATTCACAGTTCATTCCCATCCCCACCTGCAGCCTCAGGCAACCACTGTTTGTCTCTCAAGTTCAGGCTATGTCATGTATGACTGACACACAATAGAGGCTGCTTCAGGGAGATGCCTCAAAGGGGGTTTCAAATGCTTGGTGATAAAGATCAGGAGGCCTCTCAGGAGTGGGTCAGAAACCCGGACAGTCATACTACAATCAGGCTTGTAGCTTCATTAATTGGTCTGTCTATACCTGGTAAATTTAGGGAATGAATTTGTGCCTCACTCTTTACACATGTCCTATCTAATCAACTAAGGTTTCTTTTAGAAATTAGAGTTCAAGGTGTATGTTAAATATATTTATAAAAGATATTTCAACAGCAGTGCCCTCCTGAAGACTGGTCTGCAACCCCCGTGGCTCAGGCCACTGAATGAGTGGTCTTAGCTGTTCTTCCACATACGTTTAAACAGAAAATGGAAATAAGTTGATGGAAAATAGTTTCTAAAAAAAAAAACCAAAAAACATTTCAGTATGTAAATTACCAGTGATTGATTGCTTTGACTCACACTCTTACAGTCATCATTGAGGTTTACCTCTTGGCTATGACTTGCTATAACAGTGATTTACCTTAATTTGTATTTGAATCTCAGTAAATATTGTAATCACAGTCAAAAGTATGTTATTCATGCCAAGTGGTCTTAGCTCCCATGACTGATATGGCATGTTGATATGAGTATCTTGAATCAAGGTAATGGGGCCAAAAGTCTCCAGGCTGAACGTTATAAGTCTCTCTTCTGATTTGTAAACTACATTACTGATGCCATCAGTTTTCCAATGTTTACCTTTATAAAAGTAAAGAAAATGACATTAATTTCATTTTTTTTCTATACAAAAATAAGTTGAATGAAACCACCCAAATAATCGCAATATGTATAAATTTATCTTTTACACTTAGAATAGAATCTCAGCAATAAGCCAACTTTGCTGGGAGTTTCTTCCTGTCTACGGGATGAAGTCCAAACTCCTCAGCATGGCCTGTAAGACCTTCAGATGAAGCTCTGACTCACATTTCCAGCTTCGTCCCTTCGCGGGGCTCACGCCTGACTGCAGCCCCACCGTCTTTGCCTCCCCAGCAGCCTCATGCAGCTGTGTGCCTCTGCACACTTTCTTCCTCGAGGACTTCCTCTTCCGTAACATGTTAGAGAACCCCTTTTCATCTTCTTTTCAAACAGCTTCAAAATTTACCTTCTTAAGTATACAATTAAATTATTTTAGTACATTTACCCAGTTGTGCGATTATCACCACAATCTACTTTTTAGAATGTTGTTATCCTCCTGATAAATTCCCTATGTACATTTATAGTTAATGCCCATCCCCAGCCCCAGGCAACCGTTCACGTACTTCTTGTCTCTGAAGAGTTGCCTTTCCTGGACCTTCCCTATAAATGCAATCATACAATAAGTGGTCTTTGTGACTCTTACAACTCAAAAATAAAACACAACCCAGTTTAAAAATGGGTAAAAGATGCGAATAAACATTTCACCAAAGAACATATATGTAAGGATAATAAATACATATAAAAAGATGCTCAACATTATCAGTCATTAGGGAAATACAAATTAAAACAAGGTACCATTTCATACCCACTACAATGGTTCTAATAAAAAAGACAGATAACCTCAAGTGTTGGCAAGGATGTGGAGAAATGGGAAAACTCATATTGCTCGCAGGCATGTAAAATGGTACAGGCCCTTTAAAAAACAATCTGGCGGTTTCTTAAAAAGTGAACAGAAATTTACCGTTCAATTCAGCAATTCCACTCCTAGGAATATACCCCCAGGAAATGAAGACATATGCCCAGGGGAAGTCCGTGGGAGCAAGTTCTCAGTCTCTCCAGGCCCGGTTCACACGGCACCCTTAGCTGCCCAGCCTCCAGCACCTCTGAGACAGCACCGCCTGGGTTCCGCTTTTCCCTATGTGCCTCTCTGGCAACTGAGAACTCTCAGAGGAAAGAACTCGTCTGTCTCTACATTTCTTACAGTTTAATATAGCTGTGAAACAAATGAATGAATCATTCTCTTCTTAGAATGCTCTCTCCATTTCCACTTGGCTTTCTCCTCCTTTTACATGTATGGTTCTGCTAACTATTTTTGACTCTTTAATGAAACAAATGCAATTATACTGATAAACTAAGTTATTTCAATTTCCCCCTTTTTTTAAATTATTTTTTTCTTTATTGATTTTAGACAGAGAGAAAGGGAGAGAGAGAAAGAGAGAAACACTGATGAGAAAGAACATCGATTGGCCGCCTCCTGCATGCCCCCCACTGGAGATTTGGCCCACACCCTGGGCATGTGCCCTGACCAGGAATCGAACAGGTGACCTCTTGGTGCGTGGGTCGACGCTCAACCACTGAGCCACACCAGCCGGCCAATTTCCCCTTTTTGTTTTTACAGTAACAAAATTATTTTAATTTGTAAAGGTAAAAATTAAACAGATTTTCACCTATAAATAGATTTTACGAGTTTCTAATACTTCTAGGCAAAAAGTTTCCTCGTGGTTTAGAAATACTGGAGTTGTATGCTGTAAATCACTGCAGGTAAAGTTTTACAAGTCATATTTTCCTAAGTCATGTGAATAATTTACCTTGTCTAATTCTAATTTAGTGTGAATAATTTTTAATGTGATAAATATTTATGAATATTATCATTAAAGGAAAGGAAAAGTGAAATTTCTAAAGCAACACAAAAGGAAGCCATTACTTAATTGTTCATTTTTATATATTTTATATTGTGATGTATTGATAGAAACCAGCTGTTTATAATACATAAACTATTTCTAGGATATCAATAAAATCTTGTAGCTATGTCTACACAAGCAAAAACATGGAATATTATAGCAATCATAAAAACGGTTCAACTCCAAAATATTTACCCTTCTTGGTAGAGAATTTCCCAAATTCTCTACCCACATAACTAAAAATCTAGATTAGACAGCTCTTTGATTTAGTGATCTAACCTGTTCCCAACCTCTCACCAAGTAGGTAAATCTTTTCACCAATAAATAGATGAATATGAAAGGATTCACCTTACAAACGAAGCTCTGCAGCTGTCATCTAGGAGCCTCCAGCCTGCACAAGTGACTTCACAAGACCAAGACCTTGCAAGGTTTAGCCAGTCAACCCAAATAATATATGTTAATGATTAGCAAATCTTTCACTTGTAGCTCTATTAGTACTTCTGATATAGTGATATTTATTTAACATTTAAATAAGCTATAATTTCCTATGGTTCAACAATCAAAAGTCATAACAATAGCAAGTGTTCTTCTTTCTCAGGTTTCCCATTTGTCCAATACTTCAAGACTTGGTTGTAATAAGATTTATAACTTATAAATCATTAACATTAAAACAATCAAATTTTAACCCCAATCTCAACTGTAATTCTTCAGGGGTTGTGGCAGATATAAACACTTTAGTACCTAAGAGTGATCAAGTTCAATAAATGTTTCAGCTCTAATCCCTATTCATTTCCATTGAGACCATATGAAACAGAGACCCTAAAATTGGCATAGATTATGTAAGATTAGTTTACACACTGCATTTCCTGTATTGATTTAAGGATTTGTATTAGCATACATCTTTTCATTACATAATTATCAAAGCTGGTTAAAGGCATTGCTGTACCTTCAGCATCCCACCTGGCGACCATAGGCTGCTCAAAAAAGATCACGTTCTCATTAACCTCAAGCATGACCTCTATGGGTGGGAAAGTGTTTTCTGTTTCAAAGTCTTCTGTAGTTGTTGGAGGATATATATATTTTTGTAATCCATCTTTGGGTATCTTTTAAAAATGACCAAAACAATACCAAGTTAGAAGCTGACTGGTAATAGTTAAAGATGTAAATATTACTGAATAAACTATACAGTTATTTTTAATAAGCACTACAGTTTAGTCCCATTTAACTATAGACTGACTAATAAAATGTCATAACAAAATTAAAAGATAATGATTAAGGTGGGAAAAGAATCACTCAATTTGAATGTAATTAAAGAACACTTTCATGGGCCTGGTTCCAGACTGGGACTTACTCAGCATTTTATTCCAAGCACTCCTACAGGCATATAGTTAACAAAGCAGTAATGATCATGTATGGTGCCTGGTGGGTACTGAAAATATCAGGGGGAACGCTTTCTAAAATATATAATTGTCGGACTTCCAGTCAAGATGGCAGAGTAGGTAAACACAGTATCGCCTCTTCCCACAACCACATCAAAATTACAACCAGAGCCCTGCTCGGTTTTGCTCAGTGATTAGAGCGTTGGCCCAAGAACCAGAGAGGCCCAGGTTCAGTTCCCGCTAAGGGCACGTACCTCGGTTGCAGTTTGTCCCCGGCCCTGGTTAGGACCGTGTGGGTGGTAACCGCTCGATGTGTCTCTTTCACTTCGATGTTTCTCTCTCTCTCTTCCTCCCTCTCTCCCTCCTGCTCTACTTGAAGATAAATGCAAAAAAAAAAAAAAATGTCCTCAGGTGAGGATAAAAAAATTACAAGCGGACTACAACACAACCATCATTCAGAACCACCTGAAATCAAGCTGAATGGAAGTCCTACAACTACAAAATTAAAGCAGCAGCCACATCGAGACTGGTAGGAGGGGTAGAGGCAGATAGGCTGGTCCCACACCCATATATGGCAGATAAAATCAGGAGAGACACCTCAGCTAGGAAGGTCCTCCCTGAGGAGTGAGGGGGTTCCTGTCCCACACTAGGCTCCCAGCTCAGGGTCCCAGTGCCAGGAAAAGAAAAGAATCCCCATCACTTCTGGCTGGAAAACCAGCGGGAACTGAGGCTGAGGGAGGCTGCGGCTGCCTGAGCCCCAGGCAGCTCCTCTTAAAGGGCCTGCGCACGAACTTACTCAGACTTGCTCCCTTTGAGCCCCAGCTTGAGGGGCACCAGAGAAAAGGAAGAAATGAACTGTTTGGCCTCGGGACGAGGGCTGGAGGAGCAGCTTTCTCCTGGATGGAGGTGCTGGCGGAGGCTGCTGTTCCTTTGGTGAGCCCTTCCCCAGGCCGGCAGACACCACCATATCTGGGACTCCAGCAACTTGGCTCACAATGTTTGCCCCACCCTGGTGATTCCCTGAGGTCCCGTGACACCCATCTTTCAGGCCCACCCAAGCTGTTTCCAAAGGCTTTACTATAGGATTGGCCTGTCTTGGATCCTGCTTCAGAGTTTCCTAAAATCTCTCTAACAAGCAGCATCTGGTCTCAGCAAGCCCCATAACTCTCATTAAGTGGATCCAGGCCTGGCACTAGAAACAGCCAGCCTTAGTTTACAACTTGGCTTTTCCTGGGCACCTTCAAGCCCAGCACAAGAAGCAGCCATCTGTAGATCACTTTGTAGCTTATGCTGGGTGGCCCTGGATAGAACACAGGCAGTGGCTGACCTTGTCCCAGAGCCAGCACACCCAGTGGACAGCTTCCGAACACATCAAAACACCACCACCCAACCACTTCCACAAGTGACACACTCAATGAGTGGACTCTGTGGGTACCAGAGCCCTGATGAAGTAAGTCTTGCTCAGTGTGTTGGGCCCCTACACTGCTGATCCTCCAAGGTAGTCAGAAGTCAGTGGCTAGTGGGCACAGCTAGTCCCTGCAGCTGATCAGCCTGAGTAAATCCCTCCCATTGATGTGCCAACAGCAATCAAGACTCAATTATGCCCTGGCCAGTTTGGCTCAGCGGTTAGAGCGTCGGCCTGCGGTCCGGAGAGACCCGGGTTCGGTTCCCGCTAAGGGCATGTACTTCGGTTGCAGTTTGTCCCCGGTCCTGGTTGGTCGTGCGGGTGGCAGCCACTCGATGTGTCCCTTCATGTTGATGTTTCTCTCTCTCTCTCCCTCCCACTCTATCTGTACAAAAAATGGAAAAATATATATAAAAAAAAGACTCAATTACAACAGAAGGGTATACAGTCCACACTAGAGGTGCACCTCGAGGGCTCAGCTGGGGTGATCAGGGAGACTGTACCACTGGATCCTACAGGACACCTACAATAATAGGCCACCTTAGGAAACCTACGAGACATAGCAACTTTACCTAATACATAGAAACAATCACAGGGAAGCAGCCAAAATGAGGAGACAAAGAAACATGTCTCAAATGAAAGAAAAAAAAACAAACTCCAGGAAAAGAACTGAACAAAATGAAGATAAGCAATCAATCAGATGCAGAGTTCAAAACACTGGTTATAAGATTGCTCAAGGAACTTGGTGAGACCTTCAAGGAACTTAAGGAGACCTCCAAAGAACTTAGTGAGAACATCAACAACATAAAAAAGAACCAGTCAGAAATGAAGGATGCACTAGCTGAAATAAAGAATAATTTAAAGGAAATCAATAGTAGAGTAGGTAAAGCCAAGAAGCAAACTATCGATTTGGAATATAAAGAAGAAGAAAACACCCAATCAGAACAGCAAAAAGAAAAAAGAATCCAAAAAGATGAGGACAGTGTAAGGAACCTCTGGGACAATTTTAGGTGTGCCAACGTTCTCATCATAGGGGTGCCAGAAGGAGAAGAGAAAGAGCAAAAAATTGAAAACCTGTTTAAAAAAATAATGACAGGAAACTTCCCTAACTTGCTGAAGGAAACAGACATATAAGTCTAGGAAGCACAGAGAGTTCCAAAGAAGTTGAACCCAAAGAGTCCACACCAAGACACATCATCATCAACGTGCTAAAGATTAAATACAAAGAGAGAATCTTAAAAGCAGCAATAGAAAAGCAGTCTGTTACCTACAAAGGAGCTCCCATAAAACTGTCAACTGATTTCTCAAAAGAAACCTTGCAGGCCAGAAAGGAATGGCAAGAGATATTCAAGGTGATGAAAAGCAATGACCTACAACCAAGATTATTCTATCCTGCAAAGCTATCATTTAGAATCAATGGACGTATCAAGAGTTTCCCAGACAAGGAAAAGCTAAAGGAGTTCATCACCACCAAACCAGTATTATATGAAATGTTGAAGGGTCTTCCTGAAGAAGAACAAAAATATGAACAATAAAATGGCAATTAATACATATCTATCAACAACTGAATCTACAAACAAAATGAGCAAGCAGAACAGGAACAGACTCATTGATACAGAGAACTTTTTATTGCTTGCCAGATGTATGGGGGCTGAGGGGGTGGGTGAAAAAGATGAAGGAATTAAGAAGGACAAATTGGTTGTTAGACTGATGAACCTCAAAGGGAAGGGGGGAGGGAGGGCGGGATGAGATAAACCAAATAATTTCTATGCATATATGCATAACCAATGGACACCGACAATAGCAAGGACGGGAAGCAGAGGGGGAAAAGGATTGGGGAGGAGAGGGTCAATGGGGAAAAAGAGGAAACATCAGTAATACATTTAACAATAAAGATGAGTTCAAAAAATCTAATAAATAAATAAAGTATATGATTTTCTAACCACTACGCTGCATACCTAAAACTAATGCAAGATAATACATTTTTTTTTTATCCTCACCCGAGGACATTTTTCAATATTTTGTTCAGATAGAGTGGGAGGGGGAGAGAGAGAGAGAGAGAGAAACATCGACATGAAAGGGACACATTGAGTGGTTGCCACCCACACGACCCAACCAGGGCCGGGGACAAACTGCAACTGAGGTACATGCCTTTAGCAGGAACCAAACCTGGGTCTCTCCGCACCGTTGGCCAATGCTCTAACCACTGAGCCAAATCGGCCAGGGCTGAAAGATAATATTGAATGTAAACCGTAAAAAAGTTTTTAATTAAAAAAGGTAATTGGGACTTACATAAATTAAGTAATGTGCCAATGATTACAAAATGACTTCAAAGAGGCATCAAAACTGAAAAACAGAGCAATGGGACTCCAGTTCCCATGTTCCTTGGCTAGGGTGTGTAGTTAAAGAGAAAGAAAAGCATAAGCCAGGTTAACACTGTAGAAATGAATGGAGGAAAGTAAAAATCATCACACTGTACATTATAAACTTACATGTCAATTATATCTCAATAAAGCTGGGAGCAAAAAATAAAGTAAACCAGCAGCAGACTTCTCTGGGATAAGGGAGATTTGTCCATTATCTAAATGTAACATGTATCTAAATGTCTAGAAAGATGTAGGGAAGGGGGACGATTAAAAATGTTACAAAACAGGGGGGCAACAGTGAATGCGAAAAAATTCTAGAAGAGGGGGCAAGATTGTTGAAAAGATACTTGAAAAATATAGGAACGCCTCTTTGTTGCAGGAGAGAAAAACGGGTGTGAGGAAGGATACTCTGGGCTCAAATGGAGAGCAGAGTGGTGGTCTCAGGGCATTCCCACAAAGATCTTTGGATGAATCCTTAAAAATCCCAGATCAGGCTGAGACCTGCCTATAGATAAAGTTTTCAAGGTCTACCTTCACCAAAGGGATGTCTTTCTTGGTCTCCCCACTATCCTTCAAGTATCCCCAAGGTAGGGAAGGTTGATTCAAATAGATTCTTTAAAGTGACTATAGTCCAGATTATCTCCTCCAGCCTTGCTCTAATAAATGCATTCTCATTTGTCTGGAGAAGGGGAAAGGAATGACAATATCATCCCCAATAGAGTGGAAATTTGTTAGGAGGGAGCGTGAAAAAGTCACACTCTTTTATGTATAGAGCACAGATACACATACAGTCTATCTGTGGGATTAAAATTTCATGGTGGGGGATGACTAGAAAGAGAGGTGCTACGAAGAATACAGGTGAGAAGCACCTGGCAATCTATGTACATGCTGAGTTAGAGGAGAGGGAGAGAAAAGAAGGGAGGAGCAGGAAGGAGGATGGGCTACGACAGGACTGGGTGTATTTGGGACACAAGCCAGTGAAGTAAAATGAAACCAAGTCAATAGTAGGGCAAATGATACTTCTTAAAACAGGAGTGAGCAACTCCTGGACAGACCATCTAACAACCGCTGTGGTCAGTATCCTTACTACTCCATGTGTGGTCCCTGCATGGGGAGCAGCAGCATCACCTGGATCAGGGCTTCTCCATCTAATGTGCACGCGAATCACCTGGAGGTCTTGTTAAAATGCAGCTTCAGTAGATCTAAGGTGAAGCCCCAAACCATGCATTTATAACAAGTTCCCAGGAGATGTTGCTGCCACTGATTGATGGACCACATTTTTTATATCAAAGATCCAGACCACTGGTTCTTTAGTTGTGTTTTGCTAAAATATGGACTGCTGAGTCGCTCACCTCCAGAATTTCTGGTTCAACAAGAAATATGCATTTCTAGCAAATTCCCAGATGATGCTGATGCTTCCAGTTGAGGGACCACACGTAGAGAACTGCTAATCTAGACCAGAGCCCACAGAGTATGATCCTTGGAAAATCTGGCCCACCACCAGTGTTTGTGAATAAGATTTAACTGGAACACAGCCATGCCCATTCAGCTGTGCTTGGCTGCTTTGGTGTTACAAAAAGTTGCAACAGAGCTGGTATGGCCACCAAGCTTTACAGAAAAACGGTTTCCAGCCTCAGCCTCTGAAACGGACTATCATTGTTAAGGCCAAATGGGCACAATGGGAACAAAGCGCCACAGGGTCACAGTGAACACGCATGATTTCTACTTTCAAAAGCCACATTATTTTAGATTCCTTCCGTTCAGTACTGATTCAAATTTTACGAATTCAAGGTGGTTTAAAATGACGGGTTTTTTTCTGTAGTGCGTGCCTAACAGAGTTCAAGTTCATTGGGTGTTAGAGCATTTGATATAAAGTAAAAGTGTGAGAAATTATTTTACGCATAAATTTTCGGAATCAACCTACTTCCATAATGATCCAGCCCTTCATTGGTTTACATTGTGGGGGCAGTTCCAAAGCATCCAAGTGATACACTCCGCCCAGAGTTGTGAACTGGTGTATGTCCACCTCATCGTCTTCGAAGAAATCCAGCCTTTCAGGAGTGTTCTCCAGCAGCAGCAGCTGTGCTGGAGTGAATCGGATCGTTCAGTGTCTAAGCAGATCACACCATTTTTGTGTTTTTGTTTTTTTTTAGGAGGGAACGGAAAAACATCTAGTACTGGTAAGGGAAGTTTTTATTTAGTGACTAAAACTTTCCAGAAAGTGCTTAGTTCACAACCATTCACGAAGCTGACCACTGGAGTGGGAACAGGCATGTGTAATGGTCGGTGCAGGGGGCGGCTACGTTCATATTGTATACTCACGTCTGAGAAATTATTTTACTCAGTAAGCACATGTTATTAAAAGAAAAACTTTAACAATATATTATTATAGGGGAGGGAAGGTAATTTTCCCTCTATCCTTGTGAGTTCTTGGCTGAGACCTCCATAGTAAAAGATTAATAAGAGAAAAACAGAAGTTTTTAACATGTATGCCTCATGTACACATGGGATATCCCCAGGGGAAAATGAGTAATTCAAAGAGGTGGCTTAGAACTCCAGCTTACGGAGCATTTTCAACAAAGAACAGTAAATTTGTGGGAAACCGACAGGACAGGGGAAAGTGGTTTTAGGTTTCCGAGGGTGGAGATCAAGGCTGGTGAGTAGTTTGTTAAGTAGATTCCTCTGGTGGCCTCCCCAGGCTCCCGGGGTCTGAAGTTGTCTTTGATGATTAGGCTTTGTCCTTCCAAATAGCAAGGACAGGAGGGACACCTTTGAAAATTTATATCCTGCTTTTAGGCAAATAGGAGAACGGTAGGAAGCTTTTCTTGCATCTGTCTTTTAGTTGCTTTCAGCTCTAAATAATCCTTGTGCCAAAGTGGCATATTTGGGGGCAGCATATTCTGCTGCCCTTTATTCTAAAAGGTTAAAAAAAAATGGTTTAACACAAAATTTGGTAACTGCCAAATTAATTTCTTAAAATTGGACCTTATGGGGCTAAACATGAAAAACAAAAGTAAAATGGTAAAATAAATACATACATTTTGGTCCATATATAAAATTAAAGCTAATTTTTTTTTCAACAACAACAAAAAAAATAGGCCCAGCTCATAGAAAAACAGGGATGGAGGCTTGAAAGTGAAGAAACAGTTTAGATAATCTCTTGTGTTCAGAAGTTTTATGGGGAAATTCAATGGTTTCATAATTCTCAATGCACAATCGGGAATATCTGAAGTCACACGTCACTGGGACCATTCCCGTCTTTCACTAAAATTTTTTCAATACAGTGTAACAGGTAAAAAGGGAAATCAGACCACTTACAAGTCCCGCCCTATGCAATACATGCTAACTGACATCTCAGTTCCTTACTCTACAAAATGGATATGATAATAGTTTCTATCTTATAGAATTTGGGAGTGTTGTGAGTTCATGCATGTAAAGAGCTCAGAGCTGGTGCCAGACATGGTAAAAACTCAGAAACTGTTAGCCTTATTACGAGTGTCCTCGCTCATAAAAGGAAGCTCAATGAGATGGCACTGAATTGAACCCATGGGGATCAGGCACTGAAAATTAATGGAAATATCCAAAGGAAATTCCAGTTTAGCAATTTCACTTTTTTCCTTGTGTACATTTAATAAAATGCAGACTTTAATTCATTTTCCAATGTGTCTAATTCCTTTACCTGAAAATAACCTAAGAAAGAATACTGTGTCCAAATTTATGACATGTTATTTAGGGATCACCATATAGAAAACTTTGGTTTTATTGACAAAGGTTATGAATTGACTATAGTATTATATTTTTAACAGGAAAATTACCTCATAAGCCAGGGTTATAGAAAATTACAAAGCTACAAACCTAGTTGATTGCAGAAACAAAAGTATGTTAGAAAAAGTAAAGAAGTGGACAAAAAGACTGTTATGAAAATGAAATATATAGAAAATAGATTCCTTAGAAGTTACTGGGAAAGCAACATAATAATAAATTAATGGCAAAGAGGTACATAAATCTCAAACTAAAAGATTGCAAATGCTACACCACTATCATTTTGACATTTATAACTATATCCAATTACTATTTTCCAGGATAAGATAGAATACAGGGGTATTGAGAAATTCCTGACTGTATGTGTGTGCTTGTGCATGTTCATTGCAACACTGTTTGTAATGATAAAAAATTAGAAATAACCTTACTGTCTATCAATAAAGACTTTAAAAATGTTCCATTTTTGGATAGAATTATAGAGTTAGTAAAAAAGAGAGGGTTATCAATGGGTTCTGACTTAGAATAATGTCAAATATTATTCATTTAAGTAGCACATCTATTGTCTTTTATGTATGTGTAGAATGTTATGTAGCATAACAAATACTTTTGGGTTGGAAAAAAGTAATTTTCAACAAAAATATTTGTGTGATATGATCCCACAATTTTATTAAAAATCGAAAGAGAGAAAGAGAAAAGGAAATGAGTACAAATAAAAGAAATTTGTAACACTGGTTACCTCAGAAGAGGGATTATGAAGAACTTTTACTTTAAATATATTCCTACAACATCTGAATTGCTTTTTTTACAATGACCCTGCATTTCTTTTGTAAGCAGAAAAATCCCAATAAAGTTAAATGCTCAAACTATAAGTTAGAAGAGTACCTGCTGAAACTGTTTCACTTAATAATTTCATCTCCAGTTCATAGCTTGTGTCTTGAAATTCTTCCTCGACAAAAGTCTACAGAGAACACAAGGACAGGTGGGTGAACGTGTCTGCTTCAGCCCAGATGCACTTTCCTTCTGCAGGTGTCTGTTCCCTTCATTCTAAGGCCCCAGCTGACACTTGCTCTGGAATAAAACTGGACTTAAAAAACTATATTTCATTCATTTTTTAAGTATGCACTTTATTTTTTTAATTGTTGTATTACAGATGTCCTTCTTTTTATCCCCATTGACCCCCCTCCTTCCCACTCCCACCCCTCTCCTTCTTTGTCTGTGTCCATTGGTTGTGCATATATGCATATAAGTTATTTGGTTTATCTCCTCCCATCCCTCCCACCCCTCATCCAAAAACTGTATTTTAAAAGTCAGTTAAAATGAGAGCACATCTCTGCAGAGCTTCGAGGAGGCAGGAGCCAGCCTGCTCAGATGCTCTGTTGGAAACCGTCAGGTGTAAAACAGAGAAATTAGGAAGCAATGCAAACTATAAAAATATTGTTTATATTTGCATTTTGGTTTTTGCCAAGTTTTAGATTTTGCTTCATTTTGGCAATCAGTTCTCCAATAGAGTTATTCCAAAGCCTATGATTGGGTAAGCCCCTCAAGGAAATGAAAGATGCTATGTACCAAATTAATACAAGATGTCTCATTGTGCTTTAGTGTAGTAAAAAGAATACCACAATAGGAGTACAATACAATTAGAATTATATCTAAATCTGACACTAAGTTACCTTTGTGACCTTGAGCAAATCATTTAACCATTAGGGCCCTCAAATTTCTGATCTAACAATATATTTGACACTCAGATGTGTGCCAAACATAATACATCTTGCAAATAATCCTAAGAGATAGCTATTATCTTCATTTTACCAAAAAGAAAACTAACTGTTCCTTAGGAAGATAACTGTTCTAAGGGTCAAATAATGGTGAAGTAAAGAAATTTGTATACTGTAAAGCACTAGGTAAATGAAGCATTATTGTAAAAATATAGTGTGTGTGCTAATATTTGCAAACTGAATGATATCAGCAAACTTCATTTGATCTCAAATACCACCTGAAACTTCTATAGCAATGGATTAACCTTATACCAGAATTCTAGTCAGAAGCTTAAAGCCCGTTAATTACAGCATGCCTCCCATCCTCAACCACCAGCCTTTCATCTTCAATGACCATTCAAAGCCAAGTCCCCTCGTAAACTGTCCTTTTCCTTACTCTCATCGCCGTATCACCCTGTCTTCCTCTTCACCAGTTTTAACACTGTTGTATTCTCTGACAACACTTTCCATTGTGCCTCTGAAACTTCTCACTAACTCATTCATTCACAGAATTTTTAGAGTACCTAAAATTGTGCAGGCATTGCTAGATACTAGGAATAAAAGAAAGATATATATATGTATCTGACTTAAGGAGCTTCCAGTCTATTAGGGAAGCAGATGAACAAACAGAACAGTTTTGTGGGTGTAGTAAGAGTAAGGGGGTCCACAACAGAAATACAAAGGAAGAATAGTCAATTCTGTATGTAGGTGAATATATAAACAAACAAACAAACAAACAAACAAACAAACAAAAACAATGCTACCCAAAGATGATGAAGTTTGAACTAAATCTTGAAAGATAATTAGGTCACTCAAAACAAAACAAAACAAAAATGGTGGGAGGGAACTCCAAGTGTGACTGAAGGCAGAAAGGCCGGAAGCAAAACAGAGGACTCCAAGCAGTCGGTAGGTCGGCGTGAGGCACGCCAGGAGGGTGCAAAGGTCGGAACCTAGAAGCAAGCAGGAGCCAGATTATGGAGATCTTTGGGTGCTACTCTGAAGACCAGAATTTCTCTTGTGAGTAAAGGAAAGCCTGCAAAAGGCTTTCGATAGAAAAGTGACAGGAAGGATCTGCATTCAGAAAGATACCCTGGTGGCCCGCTGATGAATGGGTTGCTCAGTGAGGAGAAAGGAGTCCGAGGTACGAGGATCAGGGCCATTAGAAGGAGCGTATATGAGATGATGAGTAAGTGCCGTCAACACAACTTGGCTGCGATCGGCTGTGGAAGTAAGGCAGGGACAGGCGGAGCCTGGTTTTCAAGTGTCTTCGGTTATAAGGTGGAGGTGGTACAATTATCAAGAAAAGAAAAGGAGGAAGGGCAGCTTTGGGGGAAAAGTAGTGAATTCTATTGTAGATAGGTTGAATTTGTGTCTGTGGACACGTAGGTGGCCTTTGAGATGATCTACCATTAAAAGCCAGTTGTGTTTCTTTCTAACAGGGATTATCGTCATTAAAAGAACCAGAGATATCTGACCAATAAGCGAGTCAGGCTTTCCAATTCGCATCTTCAAAGAGTTGACAATTCTTCAGAGTTTACAACAAACTGATTTCTTGCTTTGTAGGAAGCCTAAGAATTAAGACTTTCTTAACAGAACTGTCCCCTTGATAACCACAGTTCTTCAGCACGCAACAGGAATGAAACAGCCTCGACAGTGTCACGTAAGAGAGAGAATGATCTTGTATTTAGCACACTGCCTTCAGGCAGTTAAAATGTTTACTCTCTTACATCACTCTTTAGTTCAACTGACTTTTTGGAAGTTGGACTTCCATGAAGGAGGCAATGTGCCAGTTCACGTTCCGGTGCAGCCTATTCATCTTGAGCTGCTCCAGCGTGCCTTGCTGTCATTGCAGCCGTATCATCAGAACTTCTCCGTGACCGAGCCTCAACTCCAGACCACACTTGTTGACAATATAGTTATTCATAGTTTCATATGTTATAAAGATCCTTGTGTTTTTTGGCAATGGAGCTGAAAGAAAAATGTTTTTTTCTTCATATTATCATGTTTTATATTTTGTAATGAAAAGTCCTCATTCCATAACTGTTATAAAAGTTGGCTATTTCCCATGTAGTTTTCTTCTAGATAAATTCATAGTGTATTTTAATAGTGTTTTATAATAAATATTTTATAAACCTTTTAGGTTTATAATAAATTCATTTAAAAAATAACATTTTCTAAAAATATTTGCCTCAAAATGCTGATAGAATATGAAGCAGAAAGAGTAGTTAAAGTATAATTTTCAATGACACGAGTCTCGAGAGAGGCAGGAATTGGCTTATGATATGCAAGAACTTCATGGAACACTGGCAAAGTATTTTTCACTGCACCTTGATAAATGCACAGATATTGTGAAATGGAAATTCTTTTAATCTATATGCAATTTGCATTTGACATAAAAACGTGACCTGAATCATGAATAAGATCACTGGAAACGTAATAGAAATTACAGAAACAGATCTTAGGATCCACTTGGGAGCTTAGCATACGGCATTTAGATCAGTAGGAAAAGCCTAGGTTTATAAGGTAAGTGCTTTTATATGGCTGGTTAAGATTTGAAATTAAATAAATTTAGATTCTTTATTCCCATTTACACTAAAATAAAATCCCAGATGGATAAAAGACTTAAATGTAAAAACATAACTGAACTAATCAAAAAGCGACAAAAATCATGAAAGGATTTGAAGAGACAGTGGGAGACTGATGTGAACGATGATGAATGATGGAGGTGATCTTGATGTTGCAAAATGCCAGCAGTGAACACTTTACAGATTGAATAGAATGTCTTAAATGTTATTGCCCATCAAAAGAAGATCTGTACAAAGGAATTCGCTGATCTGCCCTGGCTGGTTTGGCTCAGCGGTTGGAGCGGTCGGCCTGCGGTACAGAGAGACCTGGGTTCAGTTCCCGCTAAGAGCACGTACCTCGGTTGTAGTTTGTCCCCGGCCCTGATTGGTTGTGTGGGTGGCAGCCACTCGATGTGTCCCTTTCACATCAATGTTTCTCTCTCTCTCTCTCTTCCTCTCTCTCCCTCCCGCTCTATCTGAACAAAAAATGGAAAAATGTCCTCGGGTGAGGATAAAAAAAATTAATTAATTAATTTAAAAAAGGAATTCGCTGATCTGAAACCCAATTTTTTTCATCCAAAGAGAATTTACATTGAACTCGAGCTTCAGAATAAATTGTTTGAACTGGCTGTTGATAAGGAATGAAGGATGAATTTTGAAAATTTAGCATCATTGCTTCATTTGGAGTATCAGTTAAGAATTGTTATCCTGAGTTTGCTGAAATCTCATTCATTCCTGTAGCTTTAATACCATCGATAGGCCAGTGGTTCTCAAATCTATGCTCGTGAGTGACGTTCTTTGTTTAGGCCACACACACCCTGTAATGCTTAACTCGAGAAGTGCAGAATCTGCCCAGGGACATGGCAGCTGTGTTCGACTTCCCTCAGATCTCCCGGCTCACATTTGCTTACTTGACATTTCCATCTGTGTGTCCCAAACTTACCATGACCAAAACAAAAGTCTTGTTACATTGTAACATGCAACCAATTCAGCCCATTCCTATCCATCTCAGTAAATTAAACCACCATCTGCTTTTTTTCCCAAAATAAAAACTCAGCAGAATTTTTCTCTTTACCTCCAAAATGTACCCCAAACATATTCACCTTTCCACGTCTTACTTCCACCTTTGTCCAAGCCACCTAGACCTTTCCTGCCTCCCACCTACTGGACACTGCTTCTCCTCTGGCCCCTCACAATTCATGATCTGCAGAGCATCCAGAATATCCTTTCAAAGCCATAAATCAGATCATGCCATTCTTCTGTGCACAACCCTCTAATGGTTTCCCATTGCATTTACAATAAAATCTTAACTCGCTACTCTGACCTGCATTTCCTGTTTCATTTGGTTTCTGCTTCCTCTCTGACATCATCACATACCACTTCTTTCCTTGCCCACCATACACCCATCCACTGGCCTTCCTGGTCCTCATTTCTGCCTCATGCCCTTTACAGTAATTGTACCCTCAGACTATGATATTTGTACCTAATTATCATACACTTTGTTCTTTCTGGTCATCCAGGTGTCAGCTTAAATACTAATTCATCATACAGTCCCCCCTAACCCAATCTAGTTACTCCCTACGGCATAACCCTGTTTAACTCTGTGCACGGCATTCATGACCATCTGCTATTTCCCAGTT